TTTGCTCGATGTCCAGTCACGGGTTTCCACATTTATAGTCGTGAGGTTATTTTGCAGAGAGTCTTCCGGAGGGGCAGAGGTTTTAAATATTGAGTCATTGGTTGGGCTTTTCCTGATATGAGTTTCTGGGAAGGATTTCCATGGGCATGGAAGCTGGTGCTGCAGGGTTTCCATAAATGGTGGCAGAGCGATCTTCAGATTGTCTCGTGTTCTTTAAAATGTCCGTGTTTCCCTGCGCCATAGGCAGACAGTGGTTATCCTTTTGGGGAGAGAAAATCTGACGTGCCGCACGGTGAGGGTATCGGGAATAGGGAATGCTTGATTCCTCTGACACAGTTGTGTCTAGTCAGTGTTGGCTTTCGGGAAGACCTGCTGGAGTATTCAACTAACCATCTTTCTCTTCCTCTCCTTCACAGTACAGTGCGGTGGACAGCAATCCGCTTTCTCTCTATGTTATGCACCCCTTCTGGAATACTGTGGTTGGTTCTTTGCTGGAGGTGGCCATGTCCGTATTGTGTCATGACATGCTAAGACAAGAGTCCCTTTGAGCGGAAATAAGTTCTACCTTATTCATTCTGTGACTAATGCCAGTGTTTGTCCTTCAAGCACAGTAAATGGATGCAGCTGCATAAGTCTAAAAAGTGGTGCTGTAGAATCATATATGCTAACTGCCCCTCTCACTATCTAATGCCAGGAAGACGTAACCTCCTCTCTGATGTAGTTAAAACCAACGTGTCACACCTGTTGTGTGCACTAATGCGATTCTTTGTGTTTTTGCTGCTTTCCCATAGATTTTCCCTACCTGGCTGGCTCCAAATCTGATAACATTTTCTGGCTTCCTGTTGCTTGTCTTCAACTTCTTCCTCATGGCGTACTTTGACCCTGACTTTTACGCTTCTGGTAAGACTGTTTTTTTTTAGTGTAAATTTTAGAGCATGCGGGTAATAAAAGATCAGATACTCATGCCTGCCAATGCTATAATTTCACAATTTCATGTGCTGACTGATATGGCTTGCTTATCTACTGCTCCGTAGTGTTCTTTGGTTTTTAAATATCCACGTGGCGCAAAAAGTCAAAGACTGAAATTGCTTGGTGATAGTATACTAACGCAGCCAGAAATGTGACTCATTCCTTTCCAGTTGCTTTGAGAGGGGTAGAAGCCAACATTTGAAAAAAAGGGGGGGGAGTAAGCCCCCAAATTTAGGAGTCCATTGTATCTTTGAGTCAAGATGAACTCTGACACACAACTAAGAATAAAAAACACCCCAAACAAACTCTGCTACTTGTTGCCTTGTGGAAGAGCAAATAGTGCATTTGTGTGCCAATAACTGAGGATGTAACCAGTCTTTCTGATAAAATACTGATTTTTGTGGTTACTGACCTGCTTGTCTTTGTCAAGTTCATTTATTGTTTTCAGTGCTGCACGTGCCCTGGTGTTATGTAACTGACTAATCGTGCTCCTTAAAAAGGTAAAATTTGCGATGGGTACCTGTTTGTTGTTGTTGGATTTAAAGCAGTATAAATTTGGATGGAGATACACCAAACACTACATGCTGCATGTGTGTACCTTTTGTCTCCCTGTTCAGATGGATGATGGTTCAGTCATCTCAGTCTTTTACAATCCTCCTTGTGATAAAGGGTGGGCGAGCAGAGTTTGTGTCTGGGCTAGTGAATTGCTATGGCAGTCGTGCAAGGCTGGTTTGACACTGAGCTGGTCGACCCTGAAAATATAGGGGGGTGGGCGGGGAGTTTTGTGTTTCAGTAAAGTGACAAATCCACATACCAGGAGAGATGTAACCCCTGATGTAGAAGGGGCCAGGAGGATAGATGGAAGGATTCTTCCCTTGACCTAGCTGAGGATCCCTTCCGGTGGCAACGAACATCTGCACTGGAGCGCTCTTGTGGCACAGCTGGGCCGGCACACCTGGTGTTTCTTTGGGCTGCATTGGTTCCAGAAAGCAAATCCATTTTAGATTCTCTTGGAGTCTCTGTAGCACATCCCGGTATCTCTAAGGCAGAGCCTGTCTGTTAGGCATCCTTTATTGGAATGGCTCCTGCTAAAGAGCCGACTAAGTGCTTGTTGGCAGAGAAGGCACAGCAAAGGAATTAAAAGGTCTGTATACAAAAAACCAAGGAAGAAATACGTCCATTTATTATTTGCCGTAAGAAATGGGGCCTTTATTACTTGCCCAAGCACCTTCGTCTTATCAAAGAACTGAGTGTGACGGACCGGGCCGTGTCTGGGCACAGCTGAGGGCATCCGCTCAGGGCGAATTGCTCAAATCCGGGGCTCCTTACAGCTCCCAGGCTGGTGACCTCTCCAAACAGGCCACAAACCAGTCCCACAGAGCGCTTCAGCAACCTGCCTGAAG